TTATTATGTATTAAATTAACAGGTACGAGTTCCGGTTGAAAATTTACTCAATCGTTTTTCTGATATTGATGAAAACAACAATTTTACAAGTGTTGTTAAAAAAACTCGAGAGTTTGTATCTATTTTATTTATCAAAAGCATTAGTGATTTAAATTACCCTTTTTTCTAATTGTCACTCATTATTACAGTCGATTTTTAAAAGTTGCCAATCAATTACTTTCTGGAAGATTGGCTATATCCGCTTTGAATTTGGGTGGAACTAAAAGTGCATAAAATTTAAAATCTTTATATTGAATTTTTTTTTTTTCATTTATTTATTCTTATTATTTTGTTATTTGGAAAGCTTGTATTTCTATCGCTTTCCGATATGCTAATTCTAGGTTGGCAGTTGGTCCTACTGGAAAAAGGTAAAAAAAAGCTTTATACTGTATTAACAAATATATTTTATGTAAATAATATTTACTATATCTATAATTTTTTTGTTTTTAAGTGATACGCCAATTTTATCCTACCAACTTCAACAACGTGCTTTGATTCCACTTCTGGCCACAACCATTGCTTTGAATATTGGGCTTAATTACTGTAAATTTCGATGGGCCGAAGGGGTATGTTAATTATTTGAAACCTTGCATTTATTTTAATCATAATTAACAAATATACTTTGCAATTTGCATGGATCACCAAATGAAAACTATAGACAGAAAAGGATCATAACGAAGTTGTTAGGCTTTGTTGTATGATAAAACCTTTAGTGACATGGAATTTTGAACGAGTGGCTACTACTTGTAGAGAAAGATGCGGTGGGCAAGGATATTTGAGTATTAATAGATTTGGTAGCTTCATTGGATTCTCACATGCTGGTATGACAGCTGAGGGAGATAATAGCGTTCTAATGCAAAAAGGTATGCAAAATTTTAGATTTAATTCATTTATCTTGTAAGATGAAATTTTTATTTTTTAACGTGATTTATATCAAAATTAGTTTCTAAGGAATTGTTAGCTGATGTCCAATCGGGTGTTCTCAAGTTACCACGCATCCCTGATGTCGAAAATGCGAAAAGATGGGAT